TGAAATACGATAATAGAAATATTTTTGCTAAAAAAGATGTGAATAAAAGAAATAGTATTTTTTTGTAAATTTTGACCTCGAAGATATGATATAGTTATTAAAAAATTTGTGATTAAGGAAGGAATACTTTTACAATTGAGCGAGAACATAAAAATTTGAACAATATAAATATATCATGTTCGTGTTTAATTTTCGAGATATTTTTCAAAACATGTTACAAACTTTTTAACAATTTTATCGTATCCAGAAGATAAAAATCTATAAAAAATATTGTTTCTTTTACTTACACCTTTTTTTTGGGTAAAACTCGATCCTTTTTTAACATCTTCTTTTCAAAAGGTAATGAAGGAGGATCTAAGGTCCTTTTCATGATTATATACATATATTTATACTTACCGTCTCGTTCTTAATGATAGAGAAATCTTAATTAAGGATTTAAAAAGAAATCGGCGAGTTGGCGTCTTTTTTTAATTGCGTTACACTCTGAAATGTGAAATCGAGCACTGCCAAGCAACCCAAATAGCACAGCAACACTTGCAAAGCGTTAAAAAAGCGATTATATACGCTATTAGCGCTTTTAGCGCTTTGTTAACGCTTTGTAAGCGCTTTGTGCTACTTAGGAGTACTACAATGGTTAATTCTCCATCATCTTTGAACGAGATAGTAAGTATAATTTCGGTCGGATGAGCCCGCCTTCGTCGAGCTCGTTCGACCAGTCTATTGTAGTGGATCGGCGCAATTACTCCCACCGAATAAAGGCGAATGGAAATGCAAAAGAAAAGTGTCGCTCGTAAAAAAAAGTGAGATTTTGTCCGAAATGGGTGCTCCTACCGATCGATATTTTACAATGGAATGAAAATCAAAGTAGATACTTCGAGAAGAGACAGAGTACGCACAAAAATTTCCGAACAAGTTTTTATGATGCATGAGATTCTTACGAAAACCACACTATCAGAATCGACACTCAAGAGGAGAGTATTATTTCATCGAGATTTTGCAATTTAAAATTCTTACAACGTACTGCATTTTTTATTGATGCAAGAGTTTCTTCTTGACTTCAATCCTCGCCAGAGGATAATGTTTTCTTCTTAACTTCGTGCAGTTCGACGATTGTAAGGAGCTATAATACTGAATGCGATATTATTGAAATGATTTCTACTCCGTATTGTAGTTTTATCATACTTTAACAGAGATTATTATGCGTGAAGTTTGATACTACAATACGGCAATAACTAAAGACAAATAATATTTGTATTGAGAAAAGATTGTATTGTTTAAAATATTTAAGCATTGTAAAACATATAAACACGAACAGCTTAATATTTAGAGTTAATTTTAAGAGTTTGAGAATTTGTGGAACTAATTCTTAAAAAAAAAAAAAACTTTACTTTGTATTTAATTTTTATTTATTTAAATTGCTACAAATTTAATATATTCCAAAATTGTGAGTATAATTTATTCGACTTGTAAGCATGCATATAATTTCGTAATTATACACAATATAATTAAATAATAAAGAGTAATTCGAAAACAAAATAATTATCAAATTTTAGGAATTTGTACTTACATTAATATATCTGTAGTATTTAATATATCTGTAGTTTAATTTTATATATCATAGATATTTCGCAATGTGTTTAATTACACTGCAACGCGTAGTCGGAACATAAAATATCGGAAAGTTTCGTCACGTAGAACGTTATACGTAGAACGGCGCAACTATGCAACTCATCAGAGCGTATTGAGCACGACACAGGAGGCAGAACGAAAGTCTTCTCTATTTAAAACAGTCCTGCCAGTTGGGCATCACGTTTTGGAAATTCAGAAAATTTTATACGCGTACGCAGTTTAATATATGAATTACACGAGGGAAGTATCGCGAAAAAGTAACGTATGAAAAAGTAACATATTTAACAGAAAGATAGATACATATAGAAAATCTGCGATAAATTGGATAAAATTTTGTTTAAAAAGTGACGACCGGATTTAAAATTCTTAAAAAAATTAAAATTTTGAAGAATGTATATGGAACATTCTCGGAAAATGTAACAATACATAGATGGCATTTTTAATCGATATTTGAATGTCGTTTTTACATTTCATAAATATTTCGAGATATTTTGGAATACTCTTGGAACGTTTGTATTTTTTGGAATGTTAGGAACTTTTTATGAATATTTTAGAAGTATTTAGCATTAGCTAGGTATTAAATACTTTTAATATCCGTCGATTTTGTTTTGGATTTTCTGTGTCAAAGCAATTTTTTTAAATTTAAATTTGATAAATTTGATAAATTTGATAAATTTTAATTTTTTAATCACTTTTAGATCAGTTTAGGTATACTATACTCAGAAAAGATTCAGTCTAAATTTGCCATTTAAATTGAAACCGGAACATTTTATGACATCATGTATGCATGTTGTATATACAAAGGGTAGCACATCGAAGGGCATAGCGTTCATGAATACGGTTGTAGTCACGTGTACGTTCTTATAGAAGTTATGCTTGCAGGAATATACGCACCGACGATAGCTGTCCTGGTTTCATCCCTGGCATAAATCACTAGCAATGACTCACACAAAAACGTGGAAGAACCTTATATATCGTTTTGTCTTCTTTTCATCCGATTTTCATGACTCAGCTCTTTTGCTTAGTGATGTTGTCTCCAACAACAGCGATAACATGTTGAAAGTGCCTCCTCTGTTGTTGTTGAACAATGTCTTATTACATCTTACGTAAGCTATTTTACAGAGCCATTTTCATTTTGATTTTTAAATATGTAATAAATATATTTTAAATAAATAATTAATCTTTACTTTCTTTTCATTGTGCTATTTTTAATCACTATTATTGAGATATAATTATAATTACGACACTAATATAGACCAACATGAAATGATTCCGAAATATTCTCGTATAATTTAATTTATAAATATTAATGTATTATATTAAAGCATTATGAAACTTAATTTTTATTATTTTATTTTCAAACTTTATATATCTCATGCATTTAGATTATTTCAAATAAAATAAAAAATGTTAGAGAATCATTTGATTTTTATAAAAATTTTAAAGGTTACATTGATCTCTGTTTGTACCTCTATTTAATCTATATTAATAAAAATAATATGTAATTGATTTGTCTACAATAATTGATTTGATTGATTGACAATACAAAAAAAGACTAGCGGAAACTAAGGCAATGTGTTATGGATGTTATTTTAATAAGCGTTAAGATAAATGTAACGACGCGATATGAAAATCCATAGAATGCCTAGCTCGTGACATTTTTGCGCAGATGACTTCCTTGTTGTCGGTTTTTTTTCGTTCTGCTTCTTTTTTCTTTATCTTCCGGCTATTCAACAAAGCGTTTCCGGTTTTGCTTTATTTTCACAAAGTTTTGCAGCTTTTCAATCCGCTTCACTTTCAACTAATGATATCGCAAGTCCGCTTTTACAAAAATGGGAAGAATTATAAAGAAAAATATAATTGACACACTGTGTGATATAGATATATTTGAAAAATATACTATATTTCTTTATTATCCTATGGTTAAAATTCACTGTGACTACACAATATTGCTAAATATGCATTTATACTAAATATGTTTTTATATTCTTGTTTTTCAAAATTATAATTCTACAATTACTAGAGAAATGGAAAATAATTCTATTAATTTTTATGTTCTATTAATTTTTATGTAAGATACATATTTATAAAAAGAATTAATTGGAGGTAGTAGGCAATGCGCGAGTTGATTTTCTGTCGTATCCTTGATACGACAGAAGCTGCGTTTAGCAGAAAAAAATTGATCAGTGAGCGCTCAAAGATGTTTAATATGATTGTTCTTGCCTTTAATTCTTTGCTGGATCTAAGTGTAACAATCAATTTTAATAAAGTATTACTGAGTGTGAGTACTCATTGATTACTGATTGTGAGTGAGACATTGATTAATTTTCTCTGAACCACCGATGAAATACTATTAAAGACATTTTGTCAACCTTGGATAAATTTTTATAAAAGATCTGGAGTTAATTGAAAAACGATAATTGATATAAATTTGCGATTGTTAATATAAATATTTGGATAACATATTATTAAAGTCATGTGATTTTTTATTATACAAGTATAAATGCTTCATTAATAAGTGTGTATACTTTTAATGCTGTAATATCTTATATATTACAGTAAAAAATTACAATTTTAATTTGCTCTATAGTTATCATCTCTATTTCCAATAAACGAAAATGGATTGAAATGGATTCAGAATTTTAGAAATATGCGCGCGCGCATATTCGCAAACTTTAAAATAAATCTTTTTCAATCCTAATGCATTTTAATTTATTTATAGAAATTTCATAAAGCACATTTCAATCTAAAAATAATAGCTTTTTTTTCTGTGCCTTGTGAATACATCTCAATTCAAAATTTGAAACATAAAATGCAATTTTTCAATCCAGAATAAAAATTGAATCCAATTAAATTCAATGAAATCCAATTGAATACAATGAAATCCAATTGAATACAATTGAATCCAATTGAATAAAAAAAATTTTTGTTATTTGAAATACGCATTTAGATAGATAAAATTTCAATTTTCGTTTACTAGGTTTTGATAATCATAAACGATAATTAAAATCACAGTTTTAAATAAAAATCGAGTATTATTGAGCTTTAAATATATATGTCTACGGAACTAATAAATCACGAAATTAATAGTATATTATTATTACCATGTCTTATGCTAAATCATGTTGAAATTTAAATTTCAACAGAGATGCGAACTCGCGAATATCGGCCTTTAATAGTATCTCGTCTCTCTCGTGACTGAATGCATTCTATCATGGCTAAATGCAACTCTTGAAACAATTGAAAGATGCGTTAGAAAAAAACATCATGATGCAATCGTGATTCATTTTAACCTCTTTAAAGTTTTAATACGTGTTATATAAGTGGATACGTGTTATATTTGTGGGAATCCGAGGAATATTTTCCAACATGAAATTGCCTTGGACATTAATGAAAAATCTAAAATTACCTAAACGGAATTTTGCACAGAATAGAGAGCATAAAGAGAACTGGAGATTCACCTTAGCAAAATCATTATTCAATTCGATGGCTGGATATAACAGATATGGGCTTTATACACACGATACAATAAATTACAAGCATCCTATAGTATGCGAAGCAGTGCGTCGATTGCCAGAGGAAGTGCTGGATGCCAGGAATTTCAGGTAACGTAAATTTAATGTAGATCCCTTATAATAAAAAAACAAAAATTGTCTACAAATAACTACGAAGAAGATGTAAAAGAAAGACGTAAAAAATGTAAAAGATGTAATCATGAGCATATTTTCGTACATATAGTATATAAACATAAAGGAAAATAAATATTCTTTAAACTTTTTCTAGTGCTTTGTAAAATAAATACACTATAATAATCAAATATGACTCCATTTTAATATGCAAGATTTAATCATTAAAAAAGCTCCGCAATTTTAAATTAACAAACATAAACTCGTGTTTTTAATATAAAGTTTTACTAAACGTTATGTTTCGCAATTACACATAGACTTTTTTCAAATTTACAATGCATATGTAATTATATGCCAGATGAGAGACTGATGAGATGCAGCGCATTGTGTCGCGCTTCAAAGAATTGTAAAGACGTCTCTTTCATTAAGTACTAAATTCGCTTGATGAGATCTCTTAATTTGAGACTTAGTTAAACAGCGATATTATTCTACGAGCAACATTACAATATGTAGCATACGATGGGATTCTACTTCTCGCGTTCGCGTTTTTCTGTACCCGGTCTTGAAGGTTTCCACTGTCTGTGAATTAACGAGAGAGATTCCTGTATTCTTTTTTGCATTACAAGCCTCTGGAATATTCTGCGACTACGCAGTTGACTTTTCTATTATGCCACTCAGGCGCTTCTCGAACGAAGGCACGTAACAGTTTTGCATGCTTTGCAGGATCATACGCGCTCTACAGCTGAATTTCCTGAAGATATATCTACCCAGCGAGAAATGGATCACATTCGAGCAGGATTTGGAGTATCGATATCTCACACCGTATATAGAAGAGATCAAATTTGAGCAAGCTGAGATGAATGAATTCGATTACTTAAAAGACTAGGGATTGGCCGACTGTTAACGTAAATGAAAAAAAAAAGATTTCTCTGTAATTGACATGCGCATTCACGTGCATACGTCGCGAAATTAATTGTATGAACAGTGCTCTATTATATCAATAATTTTTTCAGGCTTTTCTTCAAACAGTTCTAGTGTGACAACAATAGTTTTACTAAATGTTCAAATATAATAAATATAAACTATTAATATCTTAATGCGTATATAAAATAATATTAATGCGTATATGCACAATTTTTCACGCTCTGACAACCATTTGAAAAAATTATCGATATAATAGCGTACTGTCAGAATAATAATATAGTTTGCGACTGTATATTATTAAATTAAATGATGCTATATGGAATGCTATTACAAGTTTCGTGTAGAAGAAGATTTATGAAGAAGATTTGTTAGCAATGATTGAATATAAAACTTGTTGTTTTCCATTTATTATTTTCAAAGTTTTAAACAATAAAGAGATATTATCGGTAAATGTCATTTTTGAAATAGTATAATGCGTTGATGTATAGATTCTTAAAATTATATTAGAAATATTTCATTAAATAAATATATATTTTAGAGATTAATGTATAATAAGTTAAAGTATTTGATTTTGTTAAATGCAAAATTTTATTCACATATTTTTTTCTTTTTTATGCATTTTAGTTTTGTTACTTGTCAATTCCACCTCAGACCACCAATTGTCACTTCAGACCTGTAGGTGGTAGTTAATAAGACCTTGCACAAGAAGTTGTTGTTTCAACTTGCAAGTGTAGTGTTTAGTTGTTGGAAGTGCAACTTCGAGATTCATGAACTAAACAGATATGAAAGGTCAACCGGTTGACTGATTCTCAAACATCTAACAATAACTAACTGTCCTGTAACAGTTTGCTTATGATGCGGTATATTTTATCTCAGATTTTTTTTCAGATAAATAGAATACTGTCAGCGAACATCAATATGATATACTAACAATTCGTTATACTAAACTGAGCTATTTTGCAATTAATTTAATATAATTATACTTTAAAAAAAAAATATATATATATATATATATGTATGTTAATCTTTATTTTACAAATTTTAATATTTTTTTATTTTAAAGTTAAATAAAATTAAGATTTTTTTATTTTTTATTTTTATATATTGTTAAGTTAACTTAAATGCGGTTAATGTAAATAACATAATTGTATTATGTGTAATCAGATTTATTTAATTATACACTTTATTTCAATTGTAATAGGTCAGTTACGATAAATATTATTTGATTTCTAGTTGTAAATTTTATAATTATAAATTTACAATTAGAATCATTATTGCAAGTTAAAATAAATATGTTTTTAAAAGAAGGAGTTACAATGTTAAAATCCTCTAATTTATTCGATGTCGAAAACATATTCAAATGTAATATACAATTTATTGCCTGATAAATTTATAGCGCATCACATTTGTTCTCCCATCTGAATGCGCATATTATATCGAGAAACGTATAATCTACGGATTTGTTTACGCGAAATTTACGACGAATGGAAAGGAAAATCTGACTTTGCTTTGCATGGCATAATATAAATCAACATGCATCGTCATGTATACTTACTGCAGTTACTGTTTTCCGCATATTTTATATTTTGTTTTTGTAAGTCGAAAAATTATTATTTTACAATACAGTACACTTCTATTTTAATAAACTTATTTTTAATTACTTATACTGTACATTCGCTTTCAGCTCAGCTTTTTATTTCATTTACCTACATATTTTATCCATCTTACATATAAATTTAGAATCTTTCATTTTAATTTTAACGATAATTTTTTCTAATCAATTTATAACAGTCAGTACGCACTTTTTATTATCAAAAATTCATACTCTTTTACAATTTTCATTTATTTATGATGATATAATCGCTGATATAGTTGTTGATATAATCACTGATATAATTTTTCCTTTTTTTAAAAATAATTCTTTGAAAACTTTGCTCAGAATGTAAATAAGTCTAAGTAAGTCTACTTTACCTGTTCGATCTCTCTTTCACAGAAAATACTTTCTTGAGGCATGTCGATCTTCTCGCAAACTTTTCTTATTTCTGGTCAACAGAAGTTTCGCAATTTTCCATAATTTTTTTCCTTGCAAAAGAGACGAAAGCACCCTGATATTTAAGTTCATTTAATGTTCGATCGAGTGTTAGCGAATTACTGTTCTAGCGCGGCCGGGAAACTCGCGGCGCGATGCTGCGTTTAGGATTTCCCGTGAGAAAAGAGTTAATCGCAGTAACGCACGGCTGGCATCGACTTTACGAGTTAAAGCGAGTCGTAAAAAGTTCGTTGCCGTGGTTCCCGCACTCTTATCCTGAGTTACCCAATACTTGGTTCGCGTTCTGAATTCTTTATGATTTCACGAGCCTCGCGAAATGCCTCACGAATGAAAACGCGAAAACGCGTTTACGTTTGTCGCCGAAAGTATTCACGGCGTGCATTTTCTAGTGAATGGCCTTGCATAAATTGAAAAGCCGCATCAGTGTGTATGCCATTACAATTCTTTTATTTTTGCACTTCAAATTATATGAGCAATTAAACGCATAAAATAAATTTGTCGTTATCCAATTTTTACGATTAATTCTATATGACATTTATTATTAAATATTTTTGTTAAATTTCGAAATTTATGTGAAAATTAATAGCGCTTATACGTTTATTATAATATATCATTGTTTATTATTGTAATGTCCATTATTTTTTTAAAAAAGAAGTATGCAAAGATTAGTTCAAGTATATAACTAAATTAATTTTCACCAAACGTTCTACTGTACTTATAGAATCATGGTGATCACATGGTGATGAATGGATTTTATGTAGAGATGCGGGAGAGCCAATATGGTTTGGGACATAAGATCGTTCTTTCGGAAAATACTTCTTTTTCTTCTAGTGATCTTTAATCTTGTGAAGTGCATTCTCTCAGTCATTTAAATGATCTGTGAGTCTTTGGTCTTTTTAATTAGCTTCTTTTCAAATTCTAAAGTAGGATGATCTAGGTTCTACTTGGTGGTAGGTAAGTTCCACTTGTCATCGTTTTGCTACATAAAATTCTTTATTACCAATATGGTTCCGTGATTCATTAGAAAATTTGATAAAAGTTTCATGAAGATCTATTCAGTTATACATCTGGACTAATCTTTGCATATCTACTCGTTTACTTTATGATTAAAGCGACTAAATTATAATCACTAAATTAATACATAAACAATAATAACGTGATGATTAATCGTCGTGAAATTGTCAATAAGAGAACGTAATAAAAATAAATTTTGTAATGATCGTTAAATTAATCCGTACATTACTGCTCTAAATTCGCGAAGTAAAATGGTATTCTGTTTGTCCTCTTTATTTTTTCTCTTTTCCTAGATTATGTGATTTCCTGCAAGGTTATATGAATATGAGTAATTGTCTGGAATACTGAGACAGAGGATTCACTTACTCAGCTAGAAACAACGCAAAACGATGTTAATTTTCTGGTACCTTGGACACTTAACACGCGCCATGCTTTCAACGACCGGAACTTCACTAAGGCGTCTCTGAGAGAGCGGCGCTCATTCGATAACTCGATAGTTCTAACGACGACGCTTCGGATAATCGCGCTGACAACGTTCGCTTCAATTGCATTCGCTTCATTTGATTTGCCTCTTTGTCCGGCTCATGTCAAGCGCGAGGCGTCGCGCGTCTGTTATCGATCCTCTTAAATATTTCGGCTAAGTAACTTTAGTCTCTTGAATGTAGAAAGATATTAAAAGGAAAAAAAAGTATTTAGTGAATGCTTTAAAACTACCTTAAGATTGTAATAATAGTTTATCTTCTTTTAAGAGAAATCATAAATTAAAAGAAAATATAAATAATATTACAATAAAACAGGATTCAAGACTTGAAGTTGAGAAAGGGAATCTACGTGAATAAATATGTTAAAAATGTAAAATAAAATATTTTTAGGAGGCTTTGTTTTTCTGAAAAATGAAAAAGGTGTAGTAAAAAATATATAAAAAAATTCTATTCTATATTTTTAACTTATTTTTTCACATATATAAAAATATAGAAAATTATTTTTTCACATCTCATTCACGCTTATATTTTCAAATCTGAAACATTGTTAAATAATAGAATATTGTAGGCAAATAATGAAGAAATATTAAGGAAATATTTATAACAGGAATATATATAAACTAATATATATAGATGTATATGTAATAAAAAAATATGTTATTTTCATTGTTTTATTTTTTAACAGTAAATTCAACCAATTTGAAGTCTTTTGAAAGATTAAAAAATATATTCCATAAAGATATGTTTTGTACGAATATATAATTTGAATTAAATTTAAGTGATCTAGTAAGTAATTTAGTAAAATCATATTTTAGATAACATTTATTTTACCATAGAATTATGAAAACTTAATAACAAAAATGTAACTTACAGTATTGAAACAAAAATTATAAACTTACAGTATATGAGAAATGAAAAATGTACGAAATGTTTTGTATATAGTACATGTTTCTTGTCATTGATCAAGTAACATTATCGAGTTTCTGCCATTACGAAGAAACTTCGGCTTTGTTTTAGCATAAGACAATAGTCGTCCATTTTAAGCTTGTTCGAAGTTCGGACCTCATCCAAACCTGTCATCAAACTGTCATTAAGACTGCCTCTCATTTGGACATAAATGCGAAACTGTACAAGATGTAGAGATATTAGTAAATTATATCAATTATACAATGAAATGTATAACGTAAAATATTTTTTGAGAAAAATGTCTATCAATATACGCATCATATATAAATTATTTCTTGATTTTCTGATTATAAAAAATGTTAATTCTAATATAATAATTTGGCAAAATAATAAAGTAATAAATATAAAAGTCTTTCATATTTTTTTGCAATTAAAAATTATTTTTCTTGAAGAGTGATGGTTTATATTTATATACAACACAATACATTTTATTTTACATGAAATACATTTTATAAAGGTTGGAATTATGAAACATCTGATTAGAGTTTTCATCTGACGTGAGAAGGAATATTGTATATTTTTTTCTACCAGCGA